TTTTTCGTATACAATGATACCTATCATTGCATTCAAATTTAATCCCATCCATTACAGTAACCTACAGTACAGCAGAGCAACATCCACGACTTACCCGCTTTTTTACTTTGCCCTTATCATATATATTGTTTACCTGTATATTTTTACTTATTTGTGCTACTATACGTAATATAATTGTATTGCTTGTAACTAATATTGTTTATCTGTACACCGTTCTAATTGGTCCCTTATGTATAATTTAATGAGTAAATAACCTGAATTTCTGCCTCCGGAATGCAATATCAAAGGCCTCAAATAATTCTCGTGGGAACGTAGATGGGGTAGGAATGTGTACACATCAAAATGTGCCATCGGTGACCTGAYCATTTCAACGGACTTGTTGTAAGCTGCCATTAAGGATTCTATGTCTTCAGAAACAGAAACGTTCAGTGACTTMACGATCGTTTTGAGAACCAAGCTGAAATGCTTTATTAGTTGCTGGACGTCTTTGTCTTTCAGCTCATACAATCTGGTTAAGTGATCCACGCGCATTTCCATTTCCGCCATCTTGTACGTCACCGAACTGTGATCGTATAAATCTCTGGTATCTGTAATATTAAAGTGCTTACATAAATGACGCAGTCAAATAAATTAAAAACAAAGTACATAAAATATTTAATATATAAGTGTTCAAATTATATCTTAAATCGTTTTGTCAGTGGCACACATCTTTACGACTAGACGACGTGTATTTTATGATTTTACTTTTTTTGCACTTCAAACGTTTCACGACGAGAAGCGAAATCCAAGTTTATTATAATATAGATTTTTGTATTTTGTAGGTAGGCATACAATACGTGTATAATATACTATATTATATAATATGTTTAGGGTAGAATTTTTGAATTTTTATCGTATCAAAATATGTGGTACTTACACATTGCAGTATCCCACTTCTTTTTTCATTTACATTATTGGTCAATTTTAAACGTTTTTCAATTTTAAATACTTAGTTAAGCATTTTCTTAGTTAATTTTTTTTTAATTTGATTTAATTTTCAGTCGTGATTAAAAAAGTCTTTTTTGTTTATAGGTCCTAAGTAACACGTGATTCATAAAAATATTGTGCGATTTATAAAATAAAAGTGGGAAAGTAGATAACTACTTTGCTTTACAATAGATATCGAGTGTATCTCAAAATAATAATAGTCAATATAATGACGTATGTAATTAAAAAAATATATTTTTTAAATATTAATGAGAAAAAARWTATTGACAGTGACAAATATAATTAGACACTATATAGGTACAATGTAAATATTATTATTTATATAAAGTTTAAGCCGAAATACTTCAAATTTAATTTAAGCCTTTCGGGAAAAAAGCATGATTATTTTCTGTTTCAAATTATTACAAGACATAGTATAAAATAATACAGAATATTAATTATGATGTTATTTTAATCGAGAAGCTCTTCTGAAAGCGTCGATCAATTCGGAGTTAATATTATACACTACTTATATTCTATATACGCACCATATTTCAATTTATACATGACCAGATTTTGTACTTAATTTGTACGAGTATTATGACGTCAAACGTAAAATACCTTGAAAGATTTTGGTTCTATTTGTGCAGTATATTTTTAAAATAAACTTCATCAAAGAATATATTTTATATTATTTTTCTCCTTTATATAATAACTTCGTATTATCCTTATTGACCTTATTTGTATCAGCATAAATTGATTTACACTTATAATTAATTTTAAATTGATGTATTTACGTAAAAAAAATACATAACCAGGATCTTGAATCCGAAGTAACCAGAAAMCCTCAAAAATTGAATATCCTACACCTAAAACCCATATTAGCCAAATGGTTTTTTTCAATATACCCGAATTAATCGAAACCTGAATAAATAACTATAATAAATCCCAAACCCGGTTAATTTATTATTTTACAAATTTAATTTAGTAATATGTTATTTAAAATGTATCTTTTGAGATTAAATCTATTTTATTATTAGTGATCTAAAGATTAATTTTTATTTATTAATAAATATCTTTCATTATATCAACACATTTATCATTCACGTCGTTTCATCATTCAATAATATCGTTTGTCGACTATCAGTAATATTTTATGAAATTAAATAACATTACTGAGGGATATCCTATGGTCTAAAACATTTGTTAGGTATCTACATAAATAATATTATGATTTTCAAAATACGTTTATCCAGAAGTAAACTTAATATCCGTATTAACCCATATGAATCCGTGCAATAACGTTTGAATCTCCAGATGTCAGTTTAAATTTCTCATTACAGTTTCTGAACACGCAAATACATTCTGCAACTGCAACAACACTATAACTAAATAAAAACCTTGCAAATAACCTATAAATGTTGGCTAATTTTATAATATATAACTATACAAGATGATTCACCAACCCGCCGTTATTTTAAATTCTTTCTTTTAATAATGAATTTATTCGAATTTTGATTTTAGGAAACTCAAGTTCTGGGCGAAACTATCAGTTATCAACCTTTATCCCAGTAACAATGCTATGATATTCTACTTCACAGCATATTTTCTAGCATAAAATTGAATCTAGTTGGTAATTCAGTGGTATTATGACTGTTCGCGCCGCGATTAAATTRGGCTATCGCGTTTTGCTAATCGCTGTGCGACGGCACCTKTCGTAATCTGGTCTCCCGTCTCCTCCATCCACCACTTAGCCATGTCGGCTCCAACTATTCCGATACTGATTATGTTTATTTAATTTCTTTGTTTTTGTCTTTTGTCTTTTGTGTAATCA